CACAGACAAAACCCTAAATAAACACAAGAACAAAACTACCCCGAGGGGTTTATTACTTTCAAAACAATTTAGATAATATTTATATAAATTTAAACGTATAAAAGAAAAAAAAATCAAATATTATGATCGAACATTTTCATTGCTTATTTTAGGAATTCACTCAAAATGAAATACATAGAAGAAAAAAAAAAAGGGGGGGCTGAACGCAATTTTTACTGAGTAATTATACCAAATCTAGCAGTTAAAAGGGAAAGGAAAATAGCAGATAAAGTTACGAGAATAACTTTTAAAATACTGGTATCAGGTAAAATAACATATTTTAGAGCAGGAGGAACAGCAACAGAATGAGTATCCAAAAAAACAAAATAAGCATAAGCAGGGAAAGCGATACAATAAGAAAAAGAAAAGATAAGATATGAATAGAATTCATAAATCCTAACTGTGGAAAGATCATTTCCAAAGATATGAGTGAGTGAAGCTAAGATTAATAATATGACATAATTCGGACGGAAATATCCAACGGAACCAATGGAACCATATTCATTTTGATTTGTTTGATCGATTTCTTCAATTTCTGAGGAAATACTTTCTCTATTGGGTTGATTTTGTCTTGGATTTTCTATATCGAGGAGACGTTGATAAGTTTCATCGCCATAACCCTTACGCGTATTCAAATACATACGCGTAAATTGAATGACTAATGCGTAATCCGAACAAAGTCCTTGTACTTTAAACCAAAGAGCATCAAAAGGCCATTCTAAATAGATGCTCAAACCTACAACAAGTAACACATATAAAGTTATCCAAACTATAAATGAATTCGAGGTGATTCTTCCTCCTTGATGCAGGGTAACTAGAATACAAACTTCGAGTACATTATGGAATACTCCTACGATCACCCAAAGTTTACCAACATCGACTAAATAATATGAAAATCCTGCTAAAGCTGTAACCAATGAGTAAGCAGCCAATAAACGGTCAAACCCAAGAGTCGAAGTTTTATTTGCTTCTCGATCAACGAAATATGTTAATAGCTTTTTATCCTTTTGCGTGTTAAACATGGTCCATTTATACATGAAAAATCCTGTGATAGTCATGATTATTGCCGAGAAAAGAATCGTTGCATCTTGTACTTGTCCATCGTATCCCGGCAAAGGAGGATGCCAGACAGGATATCCGGTGTGAGTTCCATTGTCTTGTGGTGGATTATTTGTGGTATTTCCTACGAAACTTGATATCAATATTCCGAGTGAAGCGAGAACTATTAAAATAGCAATGATAGTTCCTGCTTTATCCATATTTTTTTTATTACTGTAATGATTTTTAGTTTTATTTTTTATTTTTTATTTTTTTATTTCCTTTGGTAAAATTCAAACGTCTTTATAAAAAAAAAAAAGAAAAAATGATGAAACAAATACCAAATAAATAAGTATTGTTCTTACCATATATTATTCTTTTATACAATTCAAAACTATTTTATCCAGCGGTTTCCTAATTAGTCGTGTGAACTTTTTTCAATCAGCGTGAAAAATATCAAAATTAGAAATTCTATTGATAAACAAATTGTTATTTCACAATTTAGGAATAAATATTGTTTTTTTCCTTTTTTAACCCCGATCTGGAAATTTATGTCACTGTATCACGCTACATCGTGTATATTTTATTGATAAAAAATATTTACATTGAATTTAATCGTATGATGATTGAAAGAACTATTAAGTTATTTTTTATCATTAATTTATAGAAAAGAAAAAAATAAAAAAAATATTAAATTCATAATAAAATTTTGTTTATTCATCATCATCTTTATTTTATAATAAAGAGTTAAAGTTAATAATAAGTTAAAAAATTAAGCAAAGAAAAAGTTTAAAGACTAAATACCATCTTCATCTTCATCTTCAAAATCGATATCATGATCATCAATTTGAAAATTCATTGAATCTATAAATCAAAATAAGATTTAGTAAACAATTGAAAAATTAAAAAAGATCAATTCTTTAAGTTACATACCTTCAGCATCATAACTACAATCATGATCAATTTTAGACGATACTATATCTATGATTTAAATAAAATTTAGAGATTGTTATTAAATTAATTAAAAACAATTTTTTTTACCTGAAATTTCTATAATTCTGCTTGTGTACACTGCTTGTGGATGACTTATTTGTTCGTTATTTGTCGCTTCCTGTAAACCTTCTAATTTATGCAGAATATTGTAGTCATCTGCTTCATTATATTGTTTAAAAAATTCTGTATCACAATTTGCATTAAGTTCTTCCCTCCATAGTTTGAGAGTTTCTGATAGCATTTCCGCGCTTGGTCTTTTCATAGGATCCCTGTCCAAACATTGATTAATGAGATCTAAAAGCAATTGAGGTAATTTTATTTTAAATTTTGGCCTCAATCCTTTAACAATATGTAAAGCCAGCACTCCATCATGAGCTACATTACTATGAGGTCGAAATCCAGAAATAACTTCATAACAAATCATTCCGAATGAATAAATATCTGATTCTTTTGTATATTTGTGTCCATTTAAAACTTCAGGAGCTACATAAGGCAAAACTCCATGTACAGCACCATCTTTTTGATTTTGGTTTGCTGGTCCACTTAACCCTAAATCAGTAATATAAGCATCAAATTTCTCTCCCTTTAGTATATTGCCTGAATGAAAGTCACGATGAACCATATCATTATTATGAATAGTCTTTAATCCTTCTGCAATATTTTGTAAAGTATATAATTTTTCTTCCCAATGAATTGAACTAAAATTTTTATCCAAATAACTGCGTAAACTACCATTTTCTTTGTAACTCATTACTAAAACAAAATTATTTGTTTCTTTATCTTTACTAATACCATAACATTGGATAACATATGTCACATTATTCATTTTAATATGCGATTCAAGCTAAAAATAAATAAACCTATTATTAATTATTTTTTTTAATATTTAAGATTTAATAATTTGCCTACCTCGTTTATAAAATCAGGACTAATATCTTGTGAATTATTTAAAAATTTTAATACCACTTGATAATCTTCTCTAGGCGGTTGATTCCTCGGTATCACATCTTTCCATCTTTTCCATTTATTATTGTCCGCGTCCCAATTTAAAATAAATCCCTCCTTCCATTTTGCTTTATATACAGACCCAAACCCTCCTTTAGCGATAAATTTAATATCATAAAATTTATCATACTCAATCCACTCTAGTACATTTGTATTACTTCTTGCACTAGTTTGCAAATCTTGAATCAATTTATTAATAAAAGCATTTCCACTATTCCAATTTTTAAAATCATCTTTAAAGTGTTTGGAATTGCAAGGAGTACACCAAAACCTTGTAGTACAAGGTTGATAGCATTCTTTACATGCTGCAAACTTTTTATATCTTGCTTTTAATTCTTCATTTAATATTAACCTATCGACTATTTCTTTTTCATCTTTAGAAAGAAAATAAAATTTAAAATCTTTTATTTGCTCATAAACTTCTTTAGTAATATAATTTTGTTCCATAATTATGTCGAAAATAAAAAAAAAAAAAATTCCGTAGACGAATTTACGTAACCGGTGACAAATCATATGATCTGCTTATATTTTGTGATTGAAAAATTCTCAACAGAACGACGCTTTACCTTTTTGCATTCTCTGACCATATAAATATATAAATAAATAAATACATATACTATTTAATAAAATGAGCAAAAGATCTTTAAGACAAAGGCAACATAATCCTTATATATCTACTGCTAGGTATTCTTATGTTAAACGCGTCTACAATATACGCACCAAATTCATTAGTTGTCATTAAGGAATTTTTCTAAACGTTTATGAACTTTTTAATATTATCACAGTAATGCTCTATACGTGGGATATGTTGAAGATGATGAATCTATCGATGCTATCATGAAGAAATTCGAAGAGTTGGAACGAATTCAAGAAGAAATTGCGGCCTCTAACGCCAATGAAACTGTCGATGATCATAATTCTAATGATACTACTGTTCAAGAGAATGGCTTAACGCAAGAACAACTTGAAGAAGTTTTTAGAAGGACTTCTAGTTTCACGGTTAAATCCGCTACTTTTGCGCCAAATTTTGATGAACTTGATGACCTAGATTTTTGGCGCGTTGAATTAGAAGACGGTAATACTGCGGAATACGAGGAAGAAGAGTATATATCAATTATTTAAATCTATTTATCAAGGATAACGTGACATAGGGTTCTATCCCGCAAAAAAATTATCCGAGAAATCATTTTTTAGAAAATATTTTATATTATGTATTATTTTGATCTAGCGATTACATGGCGGTAGACAATGACTTTTGGGATGCTGAATTTGGAGATAAAAAACGTAAACGGAAGAATGATAGATCATCACCAGAAAGGCGACGCGGTTTTGATCGTGAAAGTATATTACAACGATACAAAATTATGCAAGTCAAATTACAAGACAGGAACGGCAATTTTTTTACCGTAAAGAAGAAAGTCAAGTAAAATCATTACGAATAATTTAAGTATGATTTCAACATTATATACATAATAAGCATATAAATCCGTCGTGAACAGCAACATAGATCCTAGTCTCCCTACATACATAAGAATTCCATCATTACCGATACCACGTTCATGGGCGCATACGATTCTTCCACCGAAAATTGAATCAACTTCAATGGTTCACGGGTCAAGGTGATCAAAAGGTTTTCATTACCGTATTTCAAAGGAACTTGTTATTAACGGTTTTAATTTTAATAGATATTATGAAAAAGATATCTTATCAATGGACCTGAAAAAGCTTGGACAAGACTTCCAAGCAGTATATGCAGATCCACCTTTTTTATTACCAGATGAGGAACCTTCCCCTGGAAAAATAACTTTACAGCAATTTGTAAGGGAATCTTGTCATTCGTTTAATATAAATCGAACGAAATTCATATTGATATATGGAACGTTATTTGTAGGAAAGTCTTAAATTGTCTGATATCGTTCCCAAAGGGTTTCTTTTCATTTGGGTTGAGAAAGAATTCATACCTGATATTGTTAATATCGCGGAAAAATGGAATTTTCGATATGTAGAAAATTTTTGTTGGATCAAGAAACATATTAACAATCAAATTTCTCGCGCGTCATATCGATATTTCAATAAGTCGAAATTATCTCTCTTGATATTTCGCAAGGTCTTTGATTTTTTTTTTTTTGGAGGTTCCGGGGTACGCAGCTGTAAACATTATTAAGTATACTAAAATATATCGTATAATAGGAGGGAGATATCGAACTGCGTCATCAAAGAAATCCAGATTGTGTATTTGACTTTATAAAACCCAGAACACCTGGTGAGATTAAAGAAGGACGTATGATACCTTTGAATAGATCTTAATAACAAAGCTATTATTTATTTTAGAGATGTTAACGGAAGGGAAGCCAAGGGTCATGTATGACATTATTGAAACAATGTTACCTCAAGCCGTATATAGTGAACAAAACTCCAAAGGTGATAAATTATTAGAGCTGTAAGTTTTTTTTTCATTTAATATCATGTTTTGTGTTTTCCTTTATTTTATTTTTTTTTCATAAAAAATTTCTTTATGAAAGGTGGGCGAAGAAAGAATCACGTCGTCAAGGATGGACGACCGTCGTTCAAGTGTAATGAAAGCACGATTTGATATAATGATCTATGCGATTTATTAAGCATTATTAGGTAATTTATAGGTAAATATCACGTCATCCTTTAATAGGTTATAATCATATAAGCGATTTATTAAACCGTTATTAGGTAATTTATAGCCGAAATAACCTGTCAATTGTTTATGCGACGTTCGATAAATGACCTAATTATTACGAATAATCGAAAAATCAATAAATTGGATAATCACTTTATAATTACCGTATATGCTCTAACCCTCGTATACTATTAATTTCAATCCAAAGCCTTATTCGTAAATACATACTTGTTTAATTAGGTTATTCAGAGTTAATATGATAATCCTGATAATCCCCATGCGTTTACTCGCTTGTACTTATATATAACCCGTGAATAACCTAGTTATCCTTCCAAAAATCTTGATATTAATATAACGAAAATTATTAAAATATGTATTTTCATGCGTTAATATAGTTGATCCTACAAAGAGAAATTCTGATAACATATCACTTTGACTATAACCATTAAATCAATTTTGCTAATCTTAATTATTTTTTCAATTTTGACTTATTATGTAGAAAAGGCCGATAAGAGCCGAATGCGAATGTGGCAAATGATCAGCATGTCTGATCGGATGTAATTAATTCAAATGATAGTCAAAATTAAGATTGACAATCCAAAAATTCAGAAATTGATGCATGATTCCGAATTAGAGATTTTTTTTTTTAAAATCCTTCGTTTCATCGTATAATGCCATCTGTAAGGAGGTTTTACATGTGCATCAACAGTTTTCAACTTTAAAATAATAATACCTTTTTTTTTTCTCCCCGTTAAAATTGTGGTAGCATACTCCGTTAACTAATGATAGATTGCCTGAACCAATTTTTTTTTTTTTTTTTGAAATTATGAAACAATAGATCCCCATTTGCATGAAGCCATGATACCATGAATTAGTTTAAAATGAAGAATTATTTTTTTGTAAAACCGATACGAAATTTTCGTTGTCAGAAATAAATATGATGAAACAAAAGAAATCATTTACATAATAAGAATGGGATTGTTTTGCCATGTTGCTTTAAAAAAAAAAAATTTTACAGTAAAGTAATATAAAAAGAATAAAGGAAAAAATATTATAAAAATGTCCGATGGATTATTCTTGTGCCCAACCTTTTTGATCTCAAAGGTTTTTCCCTTTGTCACTTTATTTATAAACTTGTGTATCATAATAAAATTAATTTTAATACCTATAAAAACCGACACCCGAATTCTTTTTATCGTAATTTATTAATTTATTCCGAAACGATTAATTTCTAAATTATTATTTCATAAAATTGGAAAGTAAGTTTTGTGTCTTAAATTTTTTAATATTTCTTCCGTTCCCATATTCTTGCATATATAAACATCGTATGATTTCTCCATTTTATTCAAGAAAAAAAAAGTGTCCATATGTTTCATCATTGAAACAACCCAACAGTAAGTTTAATTTATTTAATTGGTTAACTGAA